GGCCCCAAGTACGTAGTACTTGGGGTCCGGTGCTGGGTCCCGGCTTAATGGCCTTCGAGCGCCCGTACCGGTAGGCTTCTCTCACCCCCGTTGCGCGCTGCCGCGCAACACTGAGGAGACTGGCAACTGGCTTAGCTGCGCTGCAAATGCAAACAATGCATGCCAGATGGGGGTCTAACGCCCTGGCTGTTGGGGATTCACCAAAGGTCAGTTCTGTCTGACCGAGAGTAGGAGGTAAGTGAGGCTATGTGTTTCACACATGACAAAGAGTTTGGTCAGTACCTACCAAGGGGTTTTCTAAATGCGAAGTGCAAGTTACCACATGTACTTTGTGTTTCACATCAAATGTTGGTAACTCGGGCTGTGTTTAGTTAAGTGTGCATAGAAATTGTGTTGTAGGTGCTTACATGAAAGAATGTTGCACTTTTCTATGGTGAGAAAATCCTTGGAACGTCGCTGATTGCGGGGCTGGAGTGTGTGAGTTTCAAACTGGTCTATCTCGGTTTGATTTGCTTGCACCGACAGATTTATGGTGTGGAAGTTGGGCAGTTTGCATGTACATGTTTAAAACTGTAGTAAAGCTATATTTATGTAGGGATCTATTATAAGTGGAAGGTTGGCTAAGGGCTGGCATACCCTGGTATGTATGGCTGAACAATACCGGCACATAAATGATGTGAATGAAGCTCTCTTTGAGTTAGCATCTTGTGTGTTCCAAGGGCAGCAGTTTTCTGCCCAGTTTTACACTAACCACCACTTAGTACTACTGCGAGTATGGTGGGAAGTGTGCTGCTGCCTTTTAATAGATCATGAACGCAGCCTATGCACAGGAGTACTGCGAAAACGCGCTGCTGGCTTTGTTGGTCAAGCGAGTGGAGTACTACAGCTGCAAGTGCTTTAAATGACCGTTTTTACATCCTGATGTGACCAGCCCGTCTCCACAACAATTCCCTGTGCCAATCTTCGATCATCTTCTTCATCTTGTGGGCCATTATGAGGAAGGTGCAACAGTCCTCGTCGGACATGCAAATGTACCAGTGCTGGGCACAGTCGCTCCTGGGCCATGGCGGCCAAGAAGACTCGGGTGTCCCCAATTCGGGGACGCTATGTGTGTCAGATGTTGGTGGCCACATAACCATTCCCTGTCGCGCCGGGACACAACAGCTTCTCCGCTGTGACCAATACCGCCGGCGCACAGGGCGAGCACCTCTCCTGCATTTCAGAGTACTGGTACGTGCCTCACTCTTCGCCAAGGTTCCGGCGGTCCAATCAGAGCGAGCGGGAGGGCGCGATTCCGCGGCCACAGAGGGGCGTCCCGGCGGGCGAGTCGCGCCCAAGGGCAGCACGAAAAGACAGCAACAACAACGGCGACTCTTGCAAGTCGTGGGACGCCATCTGCAATCCTGGTTCCAACCCACGGGAAGCGGGCTCGGGTGAGGCGCCCCGCGAAACCTTTGAACCGCGGCCAAATCGGAATGCCGGGCTCCTTTTGGAAAGCTTGAGCGGGCCATCCATCGGCGTGTCTGCCCACCCGCCGCACAGTCCGTGGGAGGTCCGTCGCCTGATTGAAGTCGTGGCACCAAGCTGTGTTACTTGGGCGCGTGAAAAGACTCCCGCGGCGGTAATGAAACCTGAGGACGCCTCAGGGATCCATCATGTCCGGCTTGAATATCGAATCCGCACCTCGACACTGTGCGGCGGCCGGCATTGCCAAGCGCGTCGCTGGCTGCTGTGGCCGGGCGCGGCCCATGGAGCAATCACGTCGCGGAATTTGCAAGAGTTTCGAGCCGTTTTGGCAGCGGCGGATTGGCGCGGCGACTCTGTTCTGGCAGCGGCCGGCCCCGCTCAAGTGGGGCGGACGCCTGCCGCGGGGCGGCGCCAACCGTCGGGGACGCCTGGGCAGCGGTTGGTGTTGGTGGACGGCCCCGCGTGCCGTACGGGCGATGGTGCGTGGCCCGTCGGATTAGTGTCTAAATTGGGCAAGGTTAATTGGGGCCCCAGGCCGCCCAGCGGTCGTTTTTAGCCTTTCGGGGTCGGTGCGATTCAGGAGGGGTGGCATGGAGCAGACCGCGGGAGCGCAGCTCGGCAGTGGCGCCGCGTCGGGGAACCAGGAGGCTGGCAGGATGGAGGGCGGGGCGCGGCGCCAGCCCGGTAAGCCCTACGCCTGGGTGGCGCTGGTCATGGGCCTGGACCTGTCATACGTGGGTGCGGCCCTTGTGCTGGCGTCCTCTCTCAAGCGGCGCAGCAGCGCTGCTGAGGTGGTGGTGATGGTTACTCCGGACGTGCCCCAATCGGCACGGGGGGTGCTGGGTCGCGTGGCGGACGCCGTGGTGGAGGTGCCCTACCTGGAGACGCTGGCGCTGCAGAAGTACTCCGAGCGGTTCGACAAGATGTATAACTACTGGCTGGACAAGTGCTTCACCAAGTTCGCGATGTTCGGGCTGACGGAGTACAAGAAGGTGGCGTTCCTGGACGCGGACATGCTGGCCGTGGAGGACCCCGACGCGCTGTTCGACTGCCCGGCGCCCGCCGGCATCTGCTCGTCGGTGAGGGAGGTCCGAGAGAACGAGCGGATGCACGGGCAGAAGCTCCCGAGGACGATCGTGGAGGAGAGCCTGAAGAACGGGCAGGGACGGTACGGCGTGCGCGGCTGCCTGCTCGTCATGGAGCCCTGCGAGGCGACGCTGGCGCGGATCCGGGCAAAGGTGGAGGCGCGGGAGCATTACGGCTCGGTGGAGTCCATGGTAGGTCCGGACGAGCTGCTCATCACGCGGTACTTCATCAACGAGTGGAGCCACATACACGCCAAGTACGGCTGGGTGTCCTGGGCGGACCGGGAGGAGCTGGGCGTGGCGCCGGTGTTCCTGCACTACGTCAGCCAGAAGCCGTGGGACGAGGGGGAGGACTGGGACGACTTCGAGTACTGGAAGCGCGAGGCGCGGGAGGTGGTCAAGGAGGTGCCCGGCAGCTTGGGGTGAGAGCAGGCGGCGTGGGAATGCGCCCAACGGGCCCGCGACTGGGGTTCTGGGCCGGTCATCTGGCTGTGCGCCGCTCTGTGGCGCACCGCAGGCGCCGTCTCAGTGTCGCGTGACTCCGTCGCGCGATGCCGCCGGTGTCGTGTCCGTCCCGATTGGCCTGCCCGTGCTCGCGGCGGACTCGCTAGGCGTGCTGCCGGGATACGCGTCGCCGGCGCGATTGCGCGCTAATGGACGGGCCGCCTGCTGCCGCCTGTTGCGTTAGGGCGCGGCACCATCGCGTGTACCCGATGCGGATGGCGACCTTTCGCCTTGGCACCAGTTCGCCGCAGCGCCTCGCCAGTTGCCGGGCACTTGGGGATTTCGGCGTGCCCGCCAGTCTTGCCGATTGGGGCCGCGCGCCCTCGGGTGCCAGCGCAGCGGCACTGCCCTCGGCCACAGCATGGGGTGAATTGACATCTCCAGACTGCAGTGTGCTGTGTGCGTCGCTGCCCTTTACGAATGAACGGCTATATGGGGAAGGGACACGTTGTTTGTGGGTGTCGATGGCGGAACTGTTGTCCCTGAATGGCTGTTGGCTTGGTGTTTTGCAGCTATTTCGGTCGCCTCATGGATGAGATAGGGTCCCAAGCGGGTGTGGAGGTCACTGACGAGATGCGCAAGCAGGCTAGGTACGACTCACGAACCCAACTCAGGTTTCTAGTGTTTCATTCACCAGTGCATCCTGACAACAGCCAGGGTCAGTGACCATCTATGGTTGATCTGGGTGGCCCCCGCTTGCGAAATGCATACAGTAAAGTAATGACTATGCAGCACCTGTTTGTGACCCAAGTGCTTTGGTGATGCTGATGCACACATCTGGTTGAGGCGGCCACGGACAGGGCAACCCCAAATTTGGTGACAGCAGCCAAATGTCTTGTCTAGAACTGGATGCTGAAACATGGTAGCTATCTATCAACAGTTACTGTCGTTCGATTTTGGCTCCGGTCTAATGTCTTGTCGATTTTTTGCTTTTAAGGGAGATCAAGGAAAGTGCCAATTTGGCAAAGGCCAAGGCCAAGGCTATGCGAGAAAATCGTGCCTCCCGGTTGAATATTGACCTTACCTCCAACACTCCAAGAGTCACACCCAGAAGTGCTAGGATCACCACAGGGCGGCAGGTGCCACCGCTGAGTCCGTCGTCGCGCTTGAGCCCTGGACCAGGGGGCTTGAGTTCAATGCAGAAAGCCAACGGCCAGAGCGCAGGACGGTGGCGTAATCAAAGTCCCACAGCTGTCACCCGGTCTGCGGCAGTTCCAGAAGTAGCCCAGAAGTCAGATGTGTCTGAAACGGAAGTTAAGCCTGCGCCGCCCTTGCAGAGTAAGTCTGGTGGCAAGGTGACCAAGGCATCTGCCAACATCCTGGTGGTGGATGGGTTCAAGCGGCCATATCCATCAAAGCCACGGCCTGACAAGGCTCCTGGCACTCCTGGGGCTCCTGCCACTTCCAAAGAATCGTCAGCTACGGCCTCAGCTGCCAGACCCAGCACTGTGCCAAAGTTGAACTTGGCCATCGTCAAGACAGATCCAAAGGCGCCCCCAGCAAAGAAGAGTGCAGAGGGCTCTGACCATGGGGGCGATGGAGATCCTGGGACGTGGCAGGGGATGCACTGGCACAAGAAACGAGGAAACGAGCTGCCCAATAGTGTGAGGAGTGCTGCTGACGAAATGGACAGTTGGAGGCATGGTGGACCAGCCCAGGTCCAGGCAGCAGGTCCTCTGAGCGCCCGACCGTGGATGGGAGGTCAGGAGACAAGACTTGCGGTAACGCCACCGGCAACAGCCCGACCATACATCGGTGTGCAGGAGTCCGGAGACCCTGCAAGCCCCCACGGCAGTGCTGGCCCCTGGGTTGCTGGGCAAGAAACCCGCCCCCCAACAACACCACCTGGCAGCGCTCGGGTGGTTCAGCGGTCAGCGCGCTATGAGCGATGGGATGCCCCCAGGAGTTCGCGTGCTGATATGGCCTCCAACTGGCGATCAACGCCCAGAGGGAGCAGCGGAGAGCAAGGCCAAGATCGAAGCGAGTCTCCTGCTCGAGGTTGGGGTGGCCGTACCCTTGGATCAGGCGACCCAGGTGCACCACCATACTCCAGCAGGCCTGCCTCAACGACTCAAGCTCCGAGTGGAGAGACGCCGGTGCTGCAGCAGGGAGCAAGGGCCCTCAACAGAAAGTTCATGAGTGCCGGAAACCTGGACGTGCCACCTGGAATGCTGGGCATGGACAGGAGCACTTTTCATTCTTCCTCTCTGGAAGCAGTTCGATCTGCTGGTTTGTCTATGGACGCGGCAGCTGTGCGGGGCAGCCTGCAGAATGGCGCTTCGGAGAACATCATTGCGCTTCTTGGCAAGCAGGGCACAGATGGTTGGGCAAACAGAATGCTGTCGTTGGAGCAGCAACAGCGGCAGCAGCAGCAGCAGCAGCAGCAGCAGAGGCGGGGTATGGTTGGAGGTGGGGTGGCCCCCGTTGGGGGAGATGTCCTGGGAATGGGGAATGGCCTTGGTCTTGGTTCAATGCCGCTGTCTGCCAGCCAGCCGATGTATGGGCACTCGTTAGTGCACCCGAATTATTCTGGTGCGCATGGATACGGCATGCTGGGCGACTCAGCGCTTCGTTTGGAGTCCGTCCTGGCGAGTGGGGCCCATAGGAACGGCATGGAAGATGCCATGTTTGGTCAGGATGGTGGGCAGCAGTGGTGGTGTGGACCTCAGCAACGCACGCAAGGAGAAGGAAAACTTGGTGGTCGGGGATTTGGTGGCTTGGAGCACGACGCCCTGCTGCAAGTCGCTCAGTTGAATTTGAGCGGAGGGGATGCGGGTCGGGGTGGAGGCAGGGGGGCCAGACCTGGCACGTGGGGCCAGGGTCCTGAGGTGGCTAGATCGGGTGCTGGGGGCACCTATTACTGGTCATGAGTCCAGGGTTGATTCGTGAGCAAATTTGACAAACGCATGAGATTGCACGAGTCATGTTCTGAGGCACGCACACTCACACAGTTTTGTTGACGCTGTATATCTGTGTGGTGCTGAATTGTTGAGAGTCCAATTGGGGGGCTGCGGCGGTGTAGGGACTGGCCAGGATTGGATAGACCAAGGACGCACCACAGGGAGGGAGTGGATGCCTATGACTTGGGACCCACGCTAATTGCATGTCAAGGATTCATGCATAATTTATTCGAAGATCTGTGCCATTTGGGCGGACAGCACAGGCTTTGATGAAATGAGCACATCCATAGAGAGGGAGGGAGTAGCGGCACACAGCAAGAAAGAAGATGGGCAGCAAATAGCAGAAGCCGGGCGGCCATAGATTGGGGGGGGGGGGATATTTTTTCTGCAGGTATGAGAGTGCAGTCGAACCAAAGTTTAGCCACCTGTGTGGCCAGTCAGGATTCATTGCATTCCTGTGTTGTTGTCGTTGTCTTGTCATGATTGTTGCTGCTGTACCAGATGGTCTGTATGTTGCCGGTGGGCGTTTCTGATGTACTTGGTGCTGACGAGCTACGCACATGAAGTGCGGGAGCCCTTGTGACGACCTGGAATATCCCCCTGAACGCAATGGCTGGGAGAAAGGCTGCTCGAACCACACAGATAGGTACACAGGCAGTCAAGCAGTCTGTGGTCCGAAACTGAGGGTGACAGCAATGTGCAAGTGAGGCAGGAGTGGGAGGGTGCCAGGGAGGAGATTGAGAATGAGAGCACAAGGTAGTGTGATTTTTTAAGGTGTCTTGCAATGCATTGCCACTGAACGGAGTTGTGAAGAGGAGCTTGTGTCACCAGGGGTCCATCACATGGTGTACTTGTGCGGGCGATTCGGCACAGTGTGCTGTCGTTGGTTCCCAGACGGATGTTGAAACCCTTGTGCGTCGCACCGCCCTGGCAGGATTTTCTGGTCTCAGAGCTTCATGCTCGCTCTCGGCAGATGGGTGGAACGTGCGACTCACAGCGTGAGTCTCACACACATTCTGCTGTGGATCGAGCAAGACTGCGATCCATTGCAGTGTGTGTGTGTGTGTGCTGAAGAGAGCAGGCTGACAACGGTCGCTCAACACTCGGAACGCACTGCGGGATTGGGGTCTTGTGTTTGGGTCGAGTCTGTACAGTGCCGATGCAACCCTGAGCGGGAATGTTGTGGTGGAAGTGGTTCGGTCTAAAGAAAAGCATCCCTAGTGACGTTGCATGGGCGCTGTGGTGCCTCCATCCAGCGTGTCCTTGCACCTCCCCGTGGTTGGCTGATACTTGGCGGGAGGTACCCACTGCAGGAGGCAGGCTGGCCGTGGACGCAGTGCAACGCTTGAAATGTCGCCCATGGGGCCAACTGCCAATTGTGGGAGGTGCTGAGCTGAGTCTGGTTGAACCAGCCCATGCCTGCCATGCCACTTTCATGACTGCTCATCCAGAAGTGGGTGGCGACGTTGTTTCTGCAGATGTTCCAGCTCTGTTGTGCGAGGGGCGCTTCCATGCTTGATGCACCACCTGTTATGCGACTTGCCAGAACGCAGGAAGTCAGCGCACCCACATCTCATTCACAAGTGCGCTGTCGCAGGTGGACGCCACTGTTGCTTGCTCAGACTTTCCAACAATGCTTTTTCGTAAGGGACGCTTCCACACTTGTGGCGTCATTGCTTCCTTGATGTTCTAACCCACTTTTTCGCTAGCGTTTGTGACACCTAAAAATGCCCACTGCATCTCAAACGAAAATGAGAGGCAGAGCTTCACAGGGACATTCCCATTCACTCAGGCAGAGATTGAAAATAAAAGTGGCCATTGTTACTCCAACAGAATTGTGAAGATGTTGTTCAATTTGGGGACAGGGACAGGCCAACTGCAGAGTCTGAAGATGTGCAGGGCTGCAGAGATTCTCCTCCGGACACCAGGTGTGTGCCATGCAGACAACAAAACTGATCTTGTATCTGGCACGCAACAGCATGCATCAGAGCCACCTCTTTTCCATGAGTTGAGGGGAACGTATTCGAATATATGGGAATACAGACGAGCCATGTGATATCCAGGTCTTCACACAGACATCAATTGCCTGTGAATTTCTCACAAGTACACTGTACAAGCCACAAATGCATTCAAAATTCCAGAAATTTCACCACAACCGGTGAGACTCTCAGGCAAGCGAATAGAACTCTCCAAATGCCAGTCAAGTCTGTAAAACAGGGGATCCGCAGTCCTCAAGAATCAGCTGCAGTTTTCATCCAGGGTCTAACAGCTAGTTCAACAAAAATCAGCCCTTGCTCCATGGAGTCCGGAAGTTCCCCAAGGCAGTTCTACAGGTTATAATTTCCAGATGCGTTGTTGGAGCAGTTCGCCGTAGTGAGCCATGTTTCATTGGCACCCAGCCCACCAGTGGTCGGCATATCCTACCACAAGGGATGCATGTTGCGCTGTTACGGCTAGAACTGATTGAGTGTTATAAATAACTGAATGTATGAAAAGATGACGAAGCACTAGGAATTGCATTAAGGATGTTGATGAACGGACTGGGTATAAAGGACAGAACGTCTGTTGTCCTTTTGCCTCGGCTGTAAACCGTTGCCGTGGACTTGAGCGTACGATTCCCGTTCAGGGATCGCCACCCCTCGACCCTGCCCGCCTTCGTCAGCGCAACGCGCACAATCGACCACAAATGTACTCAGTACAATTGACGGGCTTGTCCCCATCCAGGACGAAGCAACTGTGGTGAGGCCCCAACCCACGCTTGCAAGGCACCTTGCCCCGCGTTTCTTTAAGGGACTGCGCCGTTGCGTGCCGGGCTGCGCAGCCATGTCTGGCCAGGTGCAGACCAAGCGGCGGCCCCGGCTGGACCTGCGAGAGATCCCCGCCAGGTTCTCCAAGTTCCTCGCCAAGCAGCCCGTCGGTGTGGAAATTGCCTTTGGCACGGCCGTGGGCGTCCTCCAGGGCGGAGCGCTGGGCTATGTACTGGGACAGTTGACGAAATCGTCGGCGCAGCAGATGGCTGGCAGTGCCGGCAACGCAGGGATGGCTCAGATGATGGTTCAGATGCAAGGGGGCAGCGTTTGGGGCCAGACCAGGAGCCTGGCGGCGTTGTGCGGCGCAAGCGGGGGCCTGAGCATTGCGTTGAAGAAATGGCGGAAAAAAGACGACATTTGGAACCAGTAGGTTTGCCTGGAGCAACCACAAGCTGCTCTCTCCCTTCTCGTCTTGTTGTAATCGCGCCCACCCTCCCAACTTGGCACACAACACGGAGTTGCAAGTTGCCTGAATATCAGATAGTAGGACGACATGGGGTAGAGTGCAAGGATGTCCTGTTCAGATGTGCAGATGACCTAATTGCGGCTGTTTGTAGCATTTTCCATTGGGAAGAAGAACAACAACACTCCATAATCAAATTTGTGAACGGCAGCAGACATCGTCTGATAGGCAACAGGGGAGTGATTTTTCGCATTCCCATACTTGTCATCAGTAGGGCGTTTTGCACTATTGTGGCACAGGATGGGGTCTGCTGCTGGTGGAGGAGCAGCATTCACGATCGCCAGTGGCAACACAGGCGTGGGTGCCATCGTCAACACATCGTTGATGCTTGGATTGTTCACTGGTGCTTTCTACAAGGTGAAGTGTCCCAATGGGCCCAGCTGCAGTCAAAAAGCACCGTGTTCACCTTTGGGATGGCCTTGGCAATGGTGACTCAATCCTGTTTGCAAGATGTTCAACACCTGGACATCATCCTTGTCCAACCTCACTTTGGACTGTGCTTGTTGCTGTCAAGAAAATGCAGAAAAGATCATACGATGAAGGCTCTCTCATAGGTGCCATTGTCTTGTTTCTTGCACACACTTGTTGTGACTGAGACAGGTCTGTGCTCTGCAGTTTGGAGAAATGTTCAAATCAGACCTCCAAGAGTCTGATTTCGAGAGGGGTCGATACATGCTGACTACACTGGGGCTATCTGTAAGTTTCAAGCGAAGGCCTCTGGAAGTTTTGTGGTACATGCACAGGCCTCTTTGGGATATGGCAGTTGCTCCGTTAAACGTGTGCAAGAAGCAGCTGGCATTCTAATCACCCGTATCAAGTGGTCAGGACTGATGAATGGTCTCTGTTGCTGATGCAGAAATACTCAAAAAATCTGAAGAGAGGGCGACTGACGGACAACACGATCATGCTTTGGAATGATACGTAAGTGAAGCTACTCCCAACTCTGCCGAGCCTTGCTTTGAAATTTCTGCCAGGAGAGGCAGTTCTGTACCTACACGTTCATCGGCAACATGGCTGAGCAGTTGTGCTCGTTGTACACTCATCATTGCGCAAAAGCAGCATGTGTTTCAATTTAATGGAAGACCTGCAGCCAAGGTTAGCTCATTTGCAGACTTGTGCCAGCAGTGAAATTTATCAGTCGATGTGGAGTGCAGCAATAAACTATTGATGCAGCAACAGACTCTGCTTGGTGAGTTTGGAAGTAGTGAGCCGTGTTTAGTGGTCAGCTTCCATGGTGCTCGGGGATCTATCGTGTCATTTCAAGTGCCTTGTGATCTATTGGCAATCGGCCTTCAGAACCTGCACTGCAGACAAGTTCATCATTTTGGGGAGCAATGGCCACAGTATATCCCACTGCAATTGCCTGTGTCACTGTCATGATCACAGAATTCTCATGGGTACGTGATCTTCGAGTGTTTCTGCTGTAGGGCACTCCAGGAGGTTCGCATCCCCCCAGGGCCCCGATTGCTCATCCTCCATCATCTCAGCCAGTTCAAGGCTGAAGCTGGCAAGCCAAGTAGACAAACAACTGACTATCCTGGAGTCGCCATGCCATCTGCAAAGCATTGATGCAGCTGGCTCCTATTGTGCATTGTTCAGGCATTTGATGGGATGCTGTGGATGCGGACATGCTGGGAAATTCACAGGCTAATCAATAATCCCAGCTCCGATTGTGGGCAGGGAGTGTGTGCAACATGGTTGCAGACATGCAGTGCAGACGATTGAATTTCTCGAAGCTGGCTCTCTGAAAGAGTGGGTGGTGAAAATCTTGAAAGACAATGGTTGGATGGGAATCGAAATGTCAGTTTTAGATGTGTCCAAATACCGTTTGGCTGAGTCGAGCAGTTCTACAGAGACATTTGATCTGCTGCTAGAGGAGCAGCAGTGAAATTGCATAGATTTGCAAGTGTTGCATGAAGGCACAGACATGCACAGAATAATCTTGAGTGGATGGGTCTGCAGTGTCAACATCGCATTTATAAATTCTTTCCTTCGATCCATTTGTCAGTGCCATGGAAAGCCCAATCGCAAGAATCCTGGTACATGCCTGTGCAACGAGTACCACATGCAGCTCCTGCGCCAGTGATGTATTTCTGCCCTGATTACAGGCTTGCAGGAGTGGCAAAGCATTGACCTTGCACTTGCAGGGCAGGTTGTACATGATGTTCCCAGCGCCATCTCCCTGCCCAGCACCTTCAGGTCAATGCCTGGATGCAAAGCCAATTTCACGTCGTTGCGTACTCATATGCTGGAACCCTCAGATCATGGTAACTTGCAAGATGCCCCCATGCTACACGGCACCAGACCACACACCAGGCGCTAGTGCTGATTCAACTTGAATTCAGTTGCAGTGTTCTGCCCTTTGGTGCGGCCCACCAGCGCGTTGCAAACTTGTTCTGCACCACCCAGAGGGCAACCCTTACTTGTGACAATTGGCTAGCCTCTGTGCGCCAAATGGTCAGCGAGTCGAAAACTAGGGTTCCTAGAAATCTGTAAACTGCATAATTTTGATCTGGGTGAACTACTCTCAACTCCAACCAAATATCAGGCCAATGGCTTCCTAGAATTGCACATCCAACCATTGTTATTTTGGGAGGATGTCAAGCAGGGCTCATTAACTGGAGATTCGCAGCACCAGGAAAGCCCACCACACAGGGTGACCTTGGTAAAACGGAACAAGCGCCGCCAGGATATGAAATTTAGAGCGCAGTTCCGCATAATGGACACGTTGAAAAATCCCCAAAGCACGCGGGCCCCTGGAGCCCAATGATTGAACCTCCAACACGCTGTTGTGCACAATTCCTAACACATGACGCTCCCAGTGGCGATCTCCACAACGCCGCCTTGACAGTTTGAAGTCCAAACATGGGCGTTGGATTGGAGCGTGCTGTATGCGGCATGCATCCTTTCCCTCCGCTGTTTTTGCTTACACGGTGCCGACGATCCTCCACACGGCTCTATCCATTCGTCAATCACCATCTGCCGTCTCATGCACTGCGTACTCCTGTATGTTACAAGTACACCGTTGGCTTGTAAACCCTTCCGCATCGGAAATTTTTACCGTTACGCTTTTTGCCCTGCATTTTGTTTACAGAGCGTTACTTTTATTCTTCTTATGTTGCTCCGCAAAAATTTTATTAAAAGAGAGTTACTTATTTTATTGTTTTCTTCGCAATAAAAGGCCAAGCGTTACGTTACTATGCGGAAGGGTTGAAAAACCAACTGTACATGCACATGGATACAGCAGGGAAAGCAGAGGGGAGCAGTGACACTAGTCCAGCGCTTTAAGTGCTCGATTGCACCACTGACATTCGACTGGGTGCCGTTCTGGTGCTGTTGCGGGACACCATGGCGACGGTGGACCCGACCTGCATGGTTGTGAAAGCGCTCGTCCTCCTCGACTCGGACGGAAAGAGGATCGTCGTGAAATACTATACTCCAGAATGGTGGGACACTTTCCCGCTGGAGTTGCCGTATCGCGATGCCACGGGCCGTCTTTTGGGCCTGGGCATCTGCGACTCCTCAGCTGATCGGCCAAAAAGGAAACTCTTTCAAGGAATCACGGCGGACCTCTGTGTGCCTTGCAGGTCAACTGTCGCCCAGCAGGCGGCGTTTGAAAAATCTCTCTTCAACAAAACCTGCAAGACGAATTCGAGGGGGGAAGGTGCGTCGATAGACGGGACGCCAGATCTCGCGGCCTGATGTTCGCGCCGGTTTATTTTGGGTGCTTGGGTGTGAAGCAAATCGACGCCGCTGCTTCTGAACGTGCCCACCGGTATCGCCTGTGGGAAAATTGTCTGCACGCCAGCTCGACGACCGTCGCGCTTGGAATGCAACTAGTACTGAAGGCACCTCTTCATTAACTACCCACTTCCCGACAACGGGTTCAATGGCTTTCTCTGGGGTTTGCTTACGATGCGGGCCTCACTCCCGCGCTGTTGCCGCAATGGATCATGCTGGACCAGGGCTGAATCGCGCCATTTCAGGGATGCTGAACCACCCTGCTGTCCCACTGAACCATATGAAGGTGCCAAGATGCCCTTCCTGGCCTTGTGATCCAAGATTCTAATAGTACATCGTCGTGCACATGGCTTTGTAGATTCCAGCAAGGGCGCGCTAAGACAGTCTGTATTCCTACTCAATATGAATCGGAGTGTGACATTGCCTGTGTCTTGCTGTGGTGCCCAGCCGAGGTCATTCTGTTCGACGACCTCGTTGTGGTGTACAAGACGCTGGGCGACCTGACTTTTTACGTCACAGGCTCGCAATCTGAAAACGAGCTCGTCCTGCACGGCGTGCTGCAAGCCTTTTACGAGTCTGTCTCTTTACTGCTGAGGTAGGCAATGAAGATGCACTTTGATGCTAAGAGATTCCAAGATTTGGGACAGTGGATTCGGGTTTGACAAAACAAAACACAGGTCATGCAATTGTGCCTCCAGAGCAAGAACTTGTGAGGCCCTTTGTCATTCAAAACAAATTGATGTGGAAGTCTCTTGCTGGGGTACCAAGGCAGCAAGGGAAACGCAGCAGAGCACATCTGTAGCAATGGAAAACTGCATTCTGGGACAAGCGCTGCACGCTGCACTGTTGCCCTGTCTCAAGATCGACGTGGCCCTCAAAGTTGACAGGTTGCTGCTTCCAACACAACTCCTCTCTATGCAGACTTCTGCATCCAGCAGCATCCTGCATGGATGTCTGCAGGCAGTGCACTGCATTACATTGACGTAGCTGTGGTCCTTGGCGTGCAAAAGGCACGTTTGGTTTTCTCTCAAGGATGAGTTCATGTGCACAACTGCAGAGATTTGCTTGTACCAAGGGTAGAACGATTCTCCCCTGAACAGGGCTCAAGCCACCACATACTGCACAGTGCGTGTGTCCCACAATCACCGATCGCCTTTGCCCAACCGTTGCTAAAAATCTGCTTGGGGGCCATCAGAAGGATTGAACTGCGCAAAATTTCATTCTGCAGTGCTTCAATGGTTTTGACAAAAAATGGTTCCCTTGAGACCAATAACACAACAAATGTCAAGCCAGCCATTCTCTTGCACATGGGCATGACCATCTTTTTAACATGCAGGGGGGCTGTGGAGAAGAAGACTGCACTTGAAAATCTAGATCAAGTGTTGCTTGTGATGGATGACATTGTGGACAACGGGTATGTTGGCAGACTGCTGTGCTGTTGCCAGAGATGTGTCAGCCCAGACACTTTTCCTGATGTGTGCTCTGTCTTCCATTATTCTTGCACTTGGTGCCCGCTGCTAAGACACAAGCATGGGAACACTGTGGCCCTAAATCTTGCGCAGTGCCAGTGACACAGGTGGGGTTTGGTGACAAAACAGAACTTTGACTTGCATGACAGCAGCAGCAATAAGTGCAAACAATAGGCACATTGCAATAATTGCTTCCAGGACTGCAGAAAAGTGCAACGTTATTGATGCACAGTAATGTCTGGGCATAATTTGTACCACAACGCCACTGATGCCACTATATTTTGATCTGGTGCTTCTTGGCCCTTGAAATGCAGGGAGGAAGCCTGCAGGGCACATAGCATCAATGCCATTGAAGCATTGTGCTGAATTTCAAACAGCTCGAGCTGGGGTGAGCTTGATACCTTGTATTTTTCCCATCAGCTGGGGCACTCAAGGAAACATCCAGAATTGTATTTGGCACAGCCCCAGCATCGCTGGACACGATTGTTCATGCATTTGAATTATTACAAGGAAATCACTGGCTTTCTTTGCCAAAGAAATTACAAAACATTGCAGTGGCAGCTGCGAGGCAATGCCGGGCACAATTGCAAGTGTGTTGTCCCATAATGTTGACAGAAACACCTTGCCCCCAAACAGGGCTGAGCACTAGTGGTGGGCCCCAAAGAGCCAGGAAAATTAAGTGGCAACAGTGATCATCTTGATTCTCTTGCCAGTCTCTTACCAGTATGGCTATCTGGCTGACTACATTCTGAACTTGCCATTGTCAGGCAACTCACCATGAGATGCAAGGTCGTTGCGTCTGAGTTATATGCTGCTGCATTGAATAGAGCATCTGTTGCAGATGAGGCTGCATCTTCTTTGGTTGGGATCAGGGATAACCGTGCTAATTAGTGTCGTCGTTAGTATTGGCGAAGCAATGCCCAAGCTGTGCCCATCAACAGGAGCCCAGGCTTGTCTAGACACAGGAACAGGCAGGGTTAGCCTGCTGTGACTGTTTCTTCACGCCATTGTCAACACTGTGAACCATGCGATGATGGCTCCTACAGTTGGCAACACAACAGCCTGGAACTCATGCCAGCCAATGGCAAAAACTGTTGTGTTATTGTGGCTGTGCCCTGATGGTGTGTGAATGGGTGTCTGTGCCATAGATTGATATTAGAAATGGACCCCCAAACGATTGCATCACGTGTGAGCATGCGGGCAGGGGATGGAATGGACGTACCATTTGCAGAGCAGGTAAGCTGTGACAGTGTTCTGTTTGCTTATCATTATCAGCTCTTTGAAATCCTAACGGGGATGCAAGCATCTCCACGGATTGGAGACTCTCTGATCACTAAAGACACCCATTCCACCATTGTCGCATAGACGTGCGGATATTGAGATGTCAAAAGTAGGTGCCTGCAACCCATTTTCCAAACTCGATTTGTGCAGTGCCCATCAGAGCGGGTTTGGTTAGAGACGCTGTGTAGCCGCTTGCGTCAGTTTGTCAAATGCAACAGACCAAATCAAGCCCGTACAGCCATTTTTCCTCACGTTGTTGACCCGTAAATAATGTAATGGGAAGGGGGCATGTTCGATCGTTGGCCCGAAAACGTTTGGAAGGATGCTGTCCATGCCGGGGCTTGTTAAGGCATTGAACGCGTTCTTTGGATATCGACCTGCCCGGCGTCCTCGGAACTGGAAGCAGCGGAATTTGGTAGTTGACAGGGGTCTGCCATATTTGAGAAAAGCCAATGTTTGTGTGAAAATAGTACGTTGCACGGGTGCTGCGCAGTTCAAATCCAACTAATATAAGAACACTGTACAGGAAAGACGCAGTTGTGCAAGATCAGTCAATCGATAGGGGTAGCTACAGATATACACGAGGATGCAGCAGTGGACTCTTTATTTCGCTCCAGAAGAGCACTCCCAACGAAGATGAATAACCTTCAGGGCAATCAAGCTGCACCTGCAACAAAGGCTGAGTTTAGCACTCGTAGTTCGAAGCCGGCGTTTTCGCCCATTGTCAAAGACGAAAACTCATACTGCCCTCCAGGAAACACTGCCAGGCGACAGCGCAAGGTGGACAGTAGCTGTTCCCAGTCTGCGTGGTGGGTGCCCAAACAGGGATCTTGTATTTCTGTGACAGGGAAAGTCCCACGCAAAAATGTCATACTTCCACCACGCCGGGCAGCACGGCTACATGCACCCCAAGTATGTGTTATTCACAGCCGTTCATGTTTCGGCATGTTGTATGCACCGAATCGGTCAAGATGTGTTTCACATCAACCTCTGTGTGTTTACAGACCTTCTCTCAAGCTTTCGCGAGAGCCAAGGAACACCTGGCGCTTGGGAATTGGTCAATGCAGAAGTGACGCGAGCAACAGCGCTTTCCCAATATGGAGGTCCCGTTGCTGGATTAGGGGCTTTGCAACAGCGGGAAATGAAATCGGCGTTATGCAAATGGATTTAATTTCGCTAATACGGCCGCTTCGACAGTGTTCCGGAATACATATTGACGACCGTAGAGATCAAAGTAAGCAAGCATAAGCCAGTACTGCGACTCTCGCTGATTCGAATAGGAAACTTCCATAGAAAATTGTTTTGAAACTTTGGAGTGTTCCAGCTTATTCACGTTAGGTCGTCCATGTGCCCCGACCAAACCACAATGTGTGGCGACTTGATCATGTAAGCCACATCCCCAACTCGCCTCCGTGCCAGCATCTGTGACGGTGATTTCGGGCCGCTCATGGCCGCAACAGCGTCCCCACGCGACAGCCAGCTGCAGCGCATGGACGTACCAATCAAGTGTACTGTGAATCACGAGTCCGACGCACACTGGGAGCAGAACCCATCATGTGGAATAGTAGTACCATCGCTTAACATCATAACTGTACAAATCTGGCACCTTGAAGAATCAAAAACCCCTCCACTGTGAACCCCCCCAAAGGGGGCAGCGTCCCGATATCCAACACCGCCCACACACGATCACACACTCGCAGAGACACAGCTGCAGCAGCACTTCTCGATTCACAGCGCACCCACTCTGCATCGCCCATCTGCGCTGTTGCATTCAGACAGCGACACTTCCAGCAGCCGCCCGGCGGCCCAGTCTTGAGCCTTTCGTGCTGCCCCGGCACTATGCCTGGATGGCCAACGACGCACACTGATCCTGGCAAGAAACACCGGCACTGACGATCCTGGACAGTGCGGGCAGACCATTGCTTGGCCCACAGCAGACTGGAAACACAAACCCTGCCCTGAAATGGTGCGCTGTCTTGCACCCCCACCGCCACCGCCTTTGAAGACACTGGAATGGTATGAACAAAAATCTGCTCCACTCAAAGCACCCAATTTTGAATCCGTATTCCTAAGTGTCAATTGACAATACACGACCTAACAAACACTATTAATCCAGCCCGACATGCGCCAATATCCCAAAGCCCAACGCTCCAGCTGCCCAGCTGCGCTTGCACGGCTCACTGTCAGCAGGCGTATGTTATAAGATGCCGTTCAGGACTCGCTGGTAATAGTCGTACTGCCTTGTCCTCCAGGCATCCAGGCTGTCGCTGATGAGCCCCAGCACAAACTGGACACACTGCGCAGGTGACAACAGAACCGAAAAAATCAGTCTGTGCTTGACCATGCTCCTGTGTGTGTTAAGTGCCAATAGCCAAATGCCAACCAGATGAGGCCAGCTAATAACACTGTGCAGCCTTGACTAGGCAGCACCTACTGCATACCAGTGTTGCTTCGCAGATGAGAGACAGCACATCAGCCTGCGATGCGCCTCTACAATACCTCTTCCAAGCCCATGTGAAGGCTGGAAGTCCCAAGATGACACTGTGTCTCTGCACGGACCGTCTTGCATGCTTGCCATGAAACCCAAGCAGCCCAGAGGTACATCACACAGAACACAATTGAAATGCAGTTCACTTGGCCCAGCAATGTCAACACGAAGAAACTTGGTTCGTCCACCATGTCGAAGTTTGAGGTGCACAGGGACGCCCTGTGCAGGAGGGAAGCCATGGCAAGGAGAGCTCACACAGGTAAAATGAGCTTTCATGTGACTGTTTCAAAGTGAGATGGAGCACAGCTGGGCACTGGACAGCTAATTGACAGGCATAGCCCAAGGGCTATCCATTTCATCGTCATGCTGGCTGATCAGGGTTTGTGAAACATGCTCATTACTACCATGTACCACAATCTATGCAACAAGAAAACAACCCATCCCCCAGAAGTCACACACACAGAAACCTTTGGCACAAATTTGTCACTGCAAAGAAAGAAAACATGTACAAAAACCACCTGCTCCTCGGGCAAGTTGAGCTGAAACCGCTTGGTTAATGACTTGAGCGACCTCTCTGCAGTCTTGAAGCATGGGAAGCCAGACTTCAACATCATCTCACACAGCAAGAGGATGCGGTCGGAGTGCTTGCGGGAGGCCAGGAATCCCTTGATGCACAAAACCTGCAACAAGCAGCCCATACACCATAAAGTGCAAGCCACAACGCCAGTGCACCTGGGGAACGCAAACTCCGTGGCTGAAAGCCCACCACTGCTGAGCTGCTGATGGCAATCGATTATGCAATCTTATCTGTGTTCCAACGCTTGCAAACAATTGTGCCAGTTCCAACTCCTGTTTTGCCAGATTCGCCCCCTGGTATCAGGTGTGTGCACAGCAATACCTTGTGTGACCATGGCCCTCAATTGAATGTTCAGAGTACTTGCACCCTCATTTATTGCATTTTACCATATCATGACAAGTATCACCTTCCACCCATCAGGTCATGTCATGCAGTGTTCACTGATACAAATTGCATTCCCAAACCAGCTTCTGCTCCCAGGCGAGTGGTTGTGCCCTTTCGCAATAACAGCCCAAAGTATTGCCGATGATACCAGGATAACCAGTGACAACAAGTATGCCCACGGACGCACTGCCCACCTTAAAATAATCAAACAGTTCACTCGCCTTGCCCTCAGAATTGGAATCCATGACTTCCAGAAACTCACGGGTGAGCTTGAATGGGGCACACTCAAAATTAACGCCACCGGGAGAGTTGGATAACATGAATCCAAAGTCAATGTGGATGATGTGGCCATCATCGTCCAGCATCAAATTGCTGTTGTGGCGGTCCTTGATCTGGTGCATGGCAACAGGCACTCAGATGGTGACACTCACACTCAAATGCAGAACCTTGTACCAGAAATCCATTCTCAACAATCAGCATTTCACTTATGCACTCCCAAGATTGTTCAGGAAATTAGTGCATGGCTGAGCGGATGCCCACTTTCGGCAGCTTTGCTTGCCCACACACTGGAATCTTCCTTACCATCCACGTTCATGTGTGTGGGGGGGTGGGTGGGTGGGTGGGGGTGGGGGGGGGGGTCAAGATTGCGTGAACAGATGGGTGTGTGTGTGCGGGGGGGGAAGGGGGCAAAAGAACTTTTGGACCACAACCGCATTCGATTCAACCTGGTATGATACGCCTGGCCAGATCAACGATTACAGCTCTGGCATCGCACAGGCCATGAAACATGGTATGTCTCTATGCAGTACGCAGTGTCACAACACAGAATCACTGATAATACACCATCAGTTCAGAAAGTGCAAATAGCTGTACAGAACTTGGCACACCCATGAGGAACAACACACATATCTGCATGAGCCGATTAGGCACAGACAGTACTGCATCTGCAGAAACACACAAAAGCCATGCAAATAAATACAGAAGCAAATGTGGCACACATTCTCTGTGAAGGCACCAGGAAATGGCAGCCCAATCCAGGCACCCAGTCACCTGCAAAAAGTAGCAAATGAGACTGTACGCAGCCATGCTCTCCACAAAATTACGCTGCGCGGTAGCACACTCTGGTGTGCCCTTCCGGAACTTGTCAAAGAAGTGCTGGCTGAGAGAAGTACCAGGTCTCGAGCGATGTTTGATCGTGTGGATCGACAGCGCATCAGGAATGAACTCGATGAGTGCCGTTCTGTTTGAGGTCACCAGGACATCGTAAGGCCGAAGCCACAATGGGAGCTTGGCCTCGTGAAATATGTCTTGGAATGACCGAATCAGCTGAACAGCCATAAGTTCCTGCCTGCAGTCATCTCCTGACTTGACGATAACACATCTCAACTGCCAGCCCTTCCTCCTGCCATGAGGTGACTGCTTTCGAATGGCATCAACCTTGTCAGCCCATCTGCATCGAAAGACAACGTGTAAAGCAAGGAGGAAACCGTGTCATAAACAAGGCACAAACACAGGAGCAAAGCATATCATGGCTATGGTGAAGGAACGATGGGTGACTCCACTACACATCCAGTCCTTGTTATCAACCATCTGACACAACAGCCACCAAATCCACAAGCATCAGTGCTACTTGGCAGCAAGCAGGGGTGCAAACATGTACCATCCACAAATATGAACATCAAGTGACATCGCATTAGAGGTGCAGGGGCAGCATCTTTCTATTTTTGGGTACTGCAATCAAGGGGAGTGCCAGCAACAACCACAACAACCAGCGATGCAGCAAAGTCACGGAGAAACATGCCAACAGCAAAATGTACCTGGTGCCATAGACCTCCTTGGCCCTTTTCTGCCTCTTCAGTGCCTGCTGATCCTCCTCAGTCATCTCGCCACCATTGAGGACCGAACTTTCAGACCAACTTTGAGTGTCATAAGTGTTGTAGGTAAGCTGGGGCATTGGCATAGCAGGGGGAGGAATGCTGCCAACCCTGCACTTGTCAGCCACAAGCTCGATCGCTTCATGAGAGGGCAGCCGCTTGTTCCGCTTGGAAGGAGGTGGGATGTGGAGGTCCAGGCCACCAACAACCTGACACAGGAAAGGCAGTGTCTTGCCACTTTCCAGAGATTGCGACGAAAGGATTTGCACACAGATAAAGGAAACTCGTTCATGTATAGCTTGCTTTGCAAGCTATCGTGGTCCAGAGGGTACCACTGGCTTTATGCCTTCAGTCTGCTTCCTAGTATGGGAGCGGCCCAACTGTGGCAACGACAATCTTGACTGCATAAAGTCATGGTACTGCAGCCAATGTCTGGGTGCAGCCACCAGGAACACAGGAGGGCTGTGGGTGAACAACCTCAACAAACCCTGATAGCCACAGTCATTCATGCGCACCCATTGAGACCACCTGTGACCCTGCAATGAGCACAGAAACAACCTCACCTCAAGGCTGACGGACACCAGCTTGTCTTCCTTCTTGTTGGGTGCTGTTGAGTACCACTCCTCAGCAATGCCTAGATCCAGACAGGGTGTGCGGCAGAGTCCAAGTCGCGACAATAGGGAGAACGTCCTGGAGCTGGACAAGGCCCCGGAGGCACTGCCATCAATGTGACTTTCAGCTGCCCCACTCAGCACAGTCCACTGCTCCTCGCTGTCCATGTGCTGACGTTCCTCTGCAGCCCTCAGCACCGCATCAGCATTGTCCACAACCTTCACTTTCACCTGCACCAGGGGTCCATCACCCCTCAAAGACGTCATCGCCCTGTCGAGGCGCCTGTACCACAAACGGTTTGCAGTCAGCTGTGCACTGGGCCAAAAAAAATCCGCAAGAGGCCAAATGGTGTGCTCATTCGAGGCTGCCCAGTGCTCCACAGCCATCTCTTGCTCACACACAAGGCACACTGCCAGATGCACTGGTGCTCTTTCCACCTTCTTGTTGCAGTTCTGCAACACTGGACTTCCAAAGGTTCCATTGACCTCTGGTGCGTGGCACTGGCCTATTCCAAACCATCATATCATGTAATACAAGAGTCGAAGCTCTGAGTGTGGTGTAGTCACAGCTGAGAAACCACAGTGCTTCAACTGCAAGCCACTGGGCAACTGGGTGGCCTTCCCGTGTTTGCTTTCTGCTGAAGACAATGTGGTGTGTTGCAACCATCCTGATGCTATGCAACTGACCAATATTTGCATGAAGTGCAGTCGCCAATTGTAAAATTCCACAGCTTGCACTACAGCTGTGCAACCTCAGAACTTGTCCTGTGGGTTGCTGTGGACTACAGTTGATATGTATGTAAACCAGCAGTGCTGTTAGGAGATAACATTACCAAGAAATTGTCCAAAAGGGCCAACATTCTGGCAAATTCCAGCACACACACAAGAGCGTAAACAAACGCCTTGAATGCAATACCTCACTGCAGCAACTACCACCAGCTTTGCAGGGACAGTGGCCCATTGACATGGCATAGTCTCAAGATCCATGCAACTGCCACAAAGCTCACAAATTATCCACTGCGCTAAAGCAACAGCAGGGCACACAAACAATCCAACATTACACGTGGAATCCGGCCTGCAACAGGCAGGGTACGAGAAAGGGGCAAATCTGCAGGGAGAACTAGGAGAATCATGCATCTAGCGGAATTTACTGAGTGCAGAATGCAGCAACAACAGGCACCAAGTCTAGCTGTGCAGCATACCTGGTGAAGGAATTTTTGGGCGTCACCAGATGGTCAGCTATCACAGCACCAGCACTGCTGGCGCCCAAATCAGATCCTTGACTGAGGGGTCCATTTTTGTCAGTTGCAGTTCTTGGCTCACCATAATCTTCCTTCCATGCACTGCTTTCAGAGAGTGAACG